ACCCCCCCCCCCCCCCTGCAAGGGTTAACTGCTCATTTTGGTCTAGGGGCTGGAAGAAAGATGCACTCGCCTGATCCTCGATCCTGCGGCGGTCTGCACCCACCTCTCTCCCCCTGCCATTGTGGAATGTTCCTCGGCATCCTCATGTCAGATGCAGGTGAATGGACCTGCATTAGACCCGATGACGTCAACGGTCCTTAGAACGCCAGAGCCCGGCGGTGAAAAAGATTCTGTGGGGGCCAATCAAGCAGCCAGGTGGGATTGAGGATCAGCTAAGTATATTTTTCTTTATTTGTGCCCCTGGACCAAAACGAGCACTTAACCCTTGCAGGGAAAGACAAACTGCAAGGGTTAACTTTTGACAATCCTGGCATTCCTCTTTAAAAAGGAGAACTAGGGGGTTAAGTCTTTTCCCCATAGTTCTCCTTAGGGCAACGGGAGGACACAAACTAGCGTCCTCCCGTCACCCTAGGCTCAGTATATAGGGAGCTACAGCTCGCGGTATACTGAGACGCCGCAGCGGATCCCGACAATTGTGCCGGGATCCGCCCAGCTGCGTGAGTGACAGCTGGCTCTGCCTATCTAGAGGCAGAGCCAGCTGTACCCTCCCCCGTCCGTTCCGCCAGTCAGCGCTGGCGGATCGGAGCGGGGAATCCAGCCCCTCCCCTGTCACGGCAGAGATCTGCGACAGGATCGAGAAGTGAGCGAGCGCCGTTATGTGTTCGCTCACCTCTCGATCTACTGAGCCGACCTGTGACAGTCTCATTGTCACAGGTCAGCTAGAACTATGAGGTGAGTGAAAAGCACCCCCCCCCTCATAGTTCTCCTTTAACATCTAACACTGCCCCATTATCACAAGCACTCCATATAAGCACCCAGGAATGTACCCCAAAACGTGTAATTGACGGTATTTTATAACCTTCTACAACAGGAGTAGCCAAACTGCAGCACTCTGTGATGAAACTACAAGTCCCATTAAGCGTTGCAAGACTGACGTCCTCAGGCAAGGCCTACCGAGGCAAATGCATGATAGTATTTGTAGTTTCAGCACAGCTGGAGGGCTGCAGTTTGGCTACCCCTGATCTACAAGTTCCCCCCTCCACCCATGACATGTTCTTTTCTCAAACAATAAAAAGTCTACACATGTGCTGCTCATACAAGGGAACGATCTTTCCTCTGATGGATTACATTAAGCACTAACAGCACGCATACGGTCAGCAACAAAACATTATATGGGCTTGTAGAGGTTCCTCCATTACCTGGCGGTCGCTCTCTCCTCCGGCGTCGTCCGCTTTGCTCAGGTAGAAGCGCAGTTTATCGCCGTGCTTTTCGTTGATCTTCTCCACGATGTCCAGCGTGCGTTTACACAGTGCCTGACCCATAGGGTCAAAGAAAACCAGCACCAGGTCGCACAGCTCTCCTGAGGGACAGACACATGAAATTTTTTCTTAGGCCCCATTCACACTGCGCGATTCGCAATTCGCGCGTTTGTATTTGCGCGATATCGCGCAAATGCTTGCATTGAGCAAGCTCGAATCGCGGCAAAATCCGCTCCAAAAATGGTTCTGCTGTAGCGACGCACGACCCGCGACAGCAGGAACCTTTGCACCATTGCCAAGCATTGGAGAGCGATATCGCGCGGTAAATAGCCGCGATATCGCGGGAATTACCGCGCAATAAATCGCTAAGTGTGAACGGGGCCTTACTGTACAAAAAGACTTTCGTATCTATAGATGTATTATAAAATGTGAGATTTGTATTCCCCCCTACGTGTCAGGCCACATGTGGGCTTTATTACTCAAGCTGTACCTACACATATCCATCCAAAACCTTCCTCTGTTATTCAGGAGCGTCAAAGTCACCCCCCTGCGACCAACCGCATCAAAGTCTGACCAGCTGCGTCAAAGTCCCTTCTCTACTGTGTAAATGTGAAACGCTTACGGCATACTTTAATGGACATCTAGTGCCGATATGGGGCACGGTAGGGACTGGCCAGAGAGGGATCACTTTGATGCAGATGGTAAGCTTGAGCATGTACTGCAATGCAATATACAATACAAAAATAGCATCGAGTTTTGATGCACGCACCATAAGGTCCCGGTATAAAATGTCACTCCTGTTGTAAAGCCGACAGTCGGCTCTACAAGTTTAAACAGAGTCCCGGCGGCAAAAGTCACCGGGAGTCTGTTTAAACAGCCCCGATGCTGGCGACGTACACTGTACGTCGTCAGTCACGAAGGGGTTAAGTCAGCATTTGCAGCTGCATGCTCCCCTGTTCTGTAGTCCAGCTAGGAAGAACTCAGGCAGGGCTGACAACAGTACTGTGATTTCAGTGCATCAGCAGCAGGATTGTCAGCTCACTATTGAAAGTTAGCCCACTAAATTTCTATCAGTATACACAGGTATTTTTCTGTACTTGCAGCGTCTGTACAGAGACTACACATGCATTAAAGATATGAGCTGAATTCTTTTTTTTTTTTTTGCACTCAGAAATGCACCTTAACCAGTTGACATCCGCGGTGTTACACCCCCTTCCTGGCCCGGCCATTTTTCAGTGTTCAGCGCTGCGGTACTTTGACTGACATTTATTCCGTCATGTGTCACCTGTGGACCCCAAAAGAAGCTGATGAAGCAGAGATCTGCTTCATCAGCTTCTTCTCTCTGGCTATAGCAGCCAGATGACTGACAGGTGAATGCGGAAGTGATGTAATACACATCACTTCTGCATTCACAGCCCGGACGGAGATCAGCAAGGAGCTGATCTCCCGTCCTCCTCCTCCTGACGCCCTCCGAGCCGGTCCCGGGCCGCAGATGGGGAAGCGGATCCCGGAATTCAAGGTGAGGGGTCGGGGGGATTAAAAAAAAACCGGCGGCGGCCGCGCGCGGGGCTTTGGAAACGAGCACATATAGACGATCGGCGTGCTATGGAGCCGCTGATCGCCTATATGTGAAACACCCGGTAACGGGTGTTTGCATTGGTCGGGTCTTTTCTGCCCGTGCGTGCCCGCTAGGGGGCGCGCGCGAGCAGAAAAAAAATGCCGTCTGGCGACGGCAACCCGCCAATGCTGCAGCGCCGTCCGTCCGTTTTTTTACTACGGGCGGACGGTAAGTGGTTAATGGCACCCTGAGATCTCCTGTATTCAGTTTATGAACGTTTGCTGTAATGGTCCTTCTGTATTCACTGACCTAACCACAAGAGGGCGTTGTTCACATCAAAGGGGTACTTCATGTCTCCGTCCACCAGCCCCGGAGTGTCCACAAAGGTGACAAGGCCGAACTTTTTCTGGCGGGAAGTGGAGATCTCTGTGCAGAGGTATTCAGAAACACCTACAGGGGAGAGAAACCAGAAGAAATATGTAATTGGAATGAGCAGACAAACCGGCTCAGCGGCGGATATGCAGCTGTCAACACGGAGCAAAGTTTATCTGGAGCTCAGTTTTCAATGATGAGAGCTCAGCAGACAGGCAGGAAGTTTTCTTACCTTGGAAGGACTGCAGAGGTTTGAAGTGAGGATACAGGTGAAGCGTTGCATCTCCCTGCGCAAACAAACAAAAGTAATACCGGTATCATAAGGTCGGCCAATATAAAAAGAAACGCACACTGACGAGCATGGCCAAGTCAAGTAAAGCAACGCAGCTGAATTAATCTTCACGGGGCCACTTTATGTCTTATGAGGGGCCACAACTACTTTAGAGAATGGTATAATAATTCTTAGTATTACAGGAACAATTGCAAGATTTTATCCTGGGGAAAGGTGTCCGCATAATGATGACGGACATACTGAGCTGCAAAGTTAAAGGCACAGTCCACCATCTGCAAAAAAAAGTACCAAGTGCAGCAACACTGAGCCTATGATCAATGTGTATTTATGATCTATTTTGCATAGAAGCTTGCAAAGCATTGGAACCATGATCTGTGAGTCGCAGGTGCAATGCACAAGCTCCTGCCATGCATACCCCACACACCAGGTATATATAGAGAACATCTGTTATGGGGCTGGAGGCAGTGCGGCTGGAGTACAATTGTGGTGACATCACTTAGTACCTCTGCTGCAGTGGAAGATAGGACTTGTAGTAATGTGGCTGTAGCTACGTTGCATGTAAAAGCTGCACCCAGCGATTTAGGGAAAGGGCGGGGGGGTTGTTGGGTATGCTGTATGCGACCATGCTTCATGTTACACAGGGATTTGTAGTTTTGGTACAGCAGGAGTGATGAGGTTGCCTACCCCCGATTTAGAGGTTTGGCTCTGTAATGACACACATCAAAATGTAAGCAGCGCCGTCAGATCCAATCCCTCCTATGACTTACAGTCAGTGTCTCCCTCTTGCGGCCGCTTGTGATGAAGGTGAATCCCTGCGTCTCGATGGCGACTCCCGTCCTCTGGATATGTTCCTCGATGTACCTAAAAAAAAGGATGGACATGCAAATCAGCATTTTTGCATTCCCATCATAAAAGGCAAATGTGTTCATCCAAACCCGGGGTATGCAAACTTCAGCCCTCCAGCTGTGGTGAAACTATACATGCCATCATACATCTGCCTCTGGGAGTCATGCTTGTGGCTGCCCGATTAGTTGCAGTGTCATATGCTGTCTCTAAGTATTGGGAAGAGAACATTTTACTCTCTTTAAGGCATCAGAGGCAGAGCCACATCTGACGGGGAAGAGAATGCCTGTCTGGCCTAGTCTGGTGTCAATAAAGCTTGTTACGGTTGAACAATACAACACAGTGAAGAGCTTCTTACATCTTTGCAAGTTTAAATGTAGATCCAGGGGATCTCGGATAGCCGAGCACCAGCCGCCGCCCGTGAGCCCTTCGTCTAGTCTGCAATGCGAGTGAAAGGTTACCTTCCATCCATTTGTCAGACTCAGCGCTCCGTCTCTCTCCCCATTCATAGGAGAGATGAGAGGATGCCATTGTGCCCCCCAATTTGAGCGACAGAGGGACTACAAGTCACAGAATCCCCACATTTTACCACACACTAACCAGTTGATGAAGCTGCTCTTCCCAGCAGAGTGATTCCCCATCAACATCACAGTGATCTTCTTGCGGGGAGGGAGGAAGGTGAGACCCAGGTGGGCGGCCAAAGCGATGAGACCTGCAGAGGAAACAAGAAAGTTATACAGCTGGGGGGGGGGAGGGATGGACGGGGCAGGGGGCAACACTGTCTACAGGACATACAAGGCAGACTATAAGGAAGAGTATATATTGCTATACATTGTATATAGATGGGGGTCTGACCACTGTCAGGGTATACATTGTATATAGATGGGGGTCTGACCATTGTCAGAATATACATTGTATATAGATGGGGGTCTGACCATTGTCAGAATATACATTGTATATAGATGGGGGTCTGACCATTGTCAGAATATACATTGTATATAGATGGGGGTCTGACCATTGTCAGAATATACATTGTATATAGATGGGGGTCTGACCATTGTCAGAATATACATTGTATATAGATGGGGGTCTGACCATTGTCAGAATATACATTGTATATAGATGGGGGTCTGACCATTGTCAGAATATACATTGTATATAGATGGGGGTCTGACCATTGTCAGAATATACATTGTATATAGATGGGGGTCTGACCATTGTCAGAATATACATTGTATATAGATGGGGGTCTGACCATTGTCAGAATATACATTGTATATAGATGGGGGTCTGACCATTGTCAGAATATACATTGTATATAGATGGGGGTCTGACCATTGTCAGAATATACATTGTATATAGATGGGGGTCTGACCATTGTCAGAATATACATTGTATATAGATGGGGGTCTGACCATTGTCAGAATATACATTGTATATAGATGGGGGTCTGACCATTGTCAGAATATACATTGTATATAGATGGGGGTCTGACCATTGTCAGAATATACATTGTATATAGATGGGGGTCTGACCATTGTCAGAATATACATTGTATATAGATGGGGGTCTGACCATTGTCAGAATATACATTGTATATAGATGGGGGTCTGACCATTGTCAGAATATACATTGTATATAGATGGGGGTCTGACCATTGTCAGAATATACATTGTATATAGATGGGGGTCTGACCATTGTCAGAATATACATTGTATATAGATGGGGGTCTGACCATTGTCAGAATATACATTGTATATAGATGGGGGTCTGACCATTGTCAGAATATACATTGTATATAGATGGGGGTCTGACCATTGTCAGAATATACATTGTATATAGATGGGGGTCTGACCATTGTCAGAATATACATTGTATATAGATGGGGGTCTGACCATTGTCAGAATATACATTGTATATAGATGGGGGTCTGACCATTGTCAGAATATACATTGTATATAGATGGGGGTCTGACCATTGTCAGAATATACATTGTATATAGATGGGGGTCTGACCATTGTCAGAATATACATTGTATATAGATGGGGGTCTGACCATTGTCAGGGTATACATTGTATATAGATGGGGTCTGGCCATTGTCAGGGTATACATTGTATATAGATGGGGTCTGACCATTGTCAGGGTATACATTGTATATAGATGGGGGTCTGACCATTGTCAGAATATACATTGTATATAGATGGGGGTCTGACCATTGTCAGAATATACATTGTATATAGATGGGGGTCTCACCATTGTCAGGGTATACATTGTATATAGATGGGGGTCTGACCATTGTCAGGGTATACATTGTATATAGATGGGGGTCTGACCATTGTCAGGGTATACATTGTATATAGATGGGGTCTGGCCATTGTCAGGGTATACATTGTATATAGATGGGGTCTGACCATTGTCAGGGTATACATTGTATATAGATGGGGGTCTGACCATTGTCAGAATATACATTGTATATAGATGGGGGTCTGACCATTGTCAGAATATACATTGTATATAGATGGGGGTCTCACCATTGTCAGGGTATACATTGTATATAGATGGGGGTCTGACCATTGTCAGGGTATACATTGTATATAGATGGGTTCTCCCCACTGTCAGGTTATACATTGTCTATGAATAGGGTCTCACCATTATCAGGCTCGATGTACAGGCTGTGGCAGTCCCTTAGGATCCTCTCATTCACGGACACGGCTCCTGACATAGAATCGGCATTAGCAGCCGCTCGAACCTTCACTTTCCCCGACATCTTCCCGGGTGCTGGTAGAGAAGCCACGCTGCCTGCCGGGAGTTGTAGTTCTCCTCACTCTGCTCCTCACAGAGAGCACAACCTCGAAGAGCCCAGCAGTACTCCACTTCCCGTCACGCCCCGCGGCGCAATCGTGGCCTGACCTGATACGTGTCAGGGTCACAGAGGGTTAGTATACGCGGCAGGCACTTCCGAGATTCCCGGAAGTAGCTCAGACGCCATATTGGTTAAGGGCAATGCCGAAATGTCTGGTGGGGAGAGGGACTAGCTGGGGTGTAAGTGGGAGCAGAAGTGGCGCTAACTGGGCGTAAGTAGGCGAAAAACTGGCACTGAATGGAGAATGTAGCTACTTATAGGGAGGCTGGAAGCTAGTTTAGGTTTCTTTAGTCTCGCGGTGGGTCAGTCCCAGTGGGTTCCGCCCTCTTGTTCATGTGATTTGCTAAGACGGTTGTCACTTACTAGCTCCCATCCAATCAGAGCTCTCCATAAACCAAGAGTGGTTTCATTGAATGGGAAGCGCTTTCCCCATTCACTTCAATGGTGGATAGCTTGGCCCGGACGATGAGCTCCTGGTGCATATTAATAACGATACAAATGAATGCAGTGCTGTAATCATGAATACATCATAAAGCTTAATTTTTAAATATCAGCTGTGTATGTGCTCTAGTTTGACTTGGTTCCAGTCTGTTGCAGTCCCTGTACAGCAGATCTCAGAGAAGGAGAAGCTGCACCAGGGGAGCCAACCAGTTCATGTGCTGATAGGAGGAGAGAGCAGAGTGACAAATAGATGAGCTTATCACTGGCCTGCTTCTCTTTCACTGTCCAGTCATAAGCCGTGGGGGTGGGTCCAGGGCGACCTGGGCTTAGAGGAAGTGGGTCGAACGATGCTGGACATCAGACTGAGGGCATCTAGAGGTGGGAAAGAAGTACTGCAGAGCGCTGGCTGAAAAGCAAATATTGCAGCAACAGCTGCTTTCTTATTGTATCTTTCAATGCAATATTCCAAAGGTGAACTAACAACACCCTCCACACCCTTCCCCTCCTCTACTCCACTGCCCTTAGCTGCGGGGATGACCACCGCCCATGCCAGCCAGTATATCGGTCCTGACACTTGAAAACTTCACTACACAGTCCCCGGAGGCCGAGTAGCATCATTACGCTTGGAATGGTGAGTGGTCTTTGGGTAGTGCGGGTTACCTGACAGCCGCGCTGTCCAATGAGAGTATTTTCTTTCCTCCGGGATGGCGTCCTGGAACAAAGAAGAGATTCTAATTGGGCAGCATGGTCATGTGACCACGCTGCCCAATGACCACTCTCTATTCCAAGCATTATGGTGGTCCAGCGATGGTCAGCCTTGGTCTTTCTTCTACCTAAGTGCAGCAGATACCGGGGGATATAATGAAGGCAGAGCAGGCAGCCGCTTGGGGCCCCCGAATTCCAGGGGGGAGCCCACGGGGATACCGGTAATAATGACCCAACGCCCCATCACTTTATTTTCATGAGTTTTTTTTATGTGCTATATAAAAAAGAATGGAGGCCGGAGAGCCAGTGCAAATTCTGCAACTTTGTACATTACAGGTTAGTGAGAATAACATCGAACTGCAAACGCGTAGAGCGAGAGGCGATCAACCTTCAGAGCTGAGTGCGGAAAATCAAGCCTCGCCCCTCCATCCTCCTCTTGTATTCCTCTTCGAATGTTATATTCTGAGAGACGGTGAAATGGTTCTTCCAATCCCCCACTATACCTGAGGGAGGAGAGAAGCCGTGTTAATGTTTCTGATGACGGTTGTTCATATTCGTGGACAGACAGGTTTTTTGGGAAAAAAAGAAGCCAGGAGAAACTGAAACTATTTTAGTTCCAATTTATTTAAAGAGGACATGTCACCTCGACCTTACCCATTCAGTTCAAAGTGACAGGGTCTCTTTAAAGTCCACCCATTTATACTCCTCTCTCCAGAGCTCCCCCGCTGCTCCATTCCTCTGTCACAAGCAACAGAAAATAGCCGGCGCTTCTGCCTGTGGGGAACATAGAACCTTTCCCCCTGTGATGCAATGGTTTGGCCCAGCGGCCAATCATCAGGACCAAACTCCGTCATATGATGGAGGGGTTGATGTGAGCACTTGATGGTGATCTTTGGCCTTCCACCATCCGAGTACATGGGCAAACCAGCTTCCCCAGGGCACTGGGGACCAAACACTGTCATATGATGGAGGTGGTGATGTAAGCACTTGATGGTGATCTTTGGCGTTCCACCATCCTAGTACGTGGTACACTGGGGACCAAATACTGTCATATGATGGAGGGGGTGATGTAAGTACATGATGGTGTTCTTTGGCCTTCCATCATCCTAGTACGTGGTCAAACCAGCTTCCCTAGGGCACTGGGGGCCAAACACTGTCATATATAGTGGAGGAGGTGATGTTTCCACTTGAGGGGGTGATGCAAGCACTTGATGGTGATCTTCGGCCTTCAACCATCTTAGTACATGGTCAACCCAGCTTCCCCAGGGCACTTGGGACCAAACACTGTCATATGATGGAAGGGGTGAGGTAAGTACTTGATGGTGATCTTTGGCTTTCCACCGTCCTAGTACGTGGTACATTGGGGGCCGAGCACTGTAATATGATGGAGGCAATGAATGGTGGTTCCACAAAGAGATGTTTTCTTTTTCACCTGTCAGGCACCTACTCACCTCAATCACGTCCTCGTAGAAGATGTAAAGCACTTAATGGAGATATTTGGCCTTCCACCATCCTAGTACATGATCAAACCAGCTTCCTCAGGGCACTGGGGACCAAACACATATAATGGAGGAGGTGATGTTTGCACTTGAGGGGGTGATGCAAGCACTTGATGGTGATCTTTGGCGTTCCACCACCCTAGTACGTGGTACACTGGGGACCGAACACTGTCATATGATGGAGGGGGTGATGTAAGTACTTGATAGTGATCGTTGGCTTTCCACCATCCTAGTATGTGGTTAAACCAGCTTCCCCAGGGCACTGGGGGCCAAACACTGTCATATGATTGAGGGGGTGAGGTAAGCACTTGATGGTGACCTTTGGCCTTCCACCATCCTACCACGTGGTACACTGGGGACCAAACACTGTCATATGATGGAGGCAATGAATGGTGGTTCAACAAAGTGATATTTTGGTTTTCACGCGTCAGGCTACTAACCTCAATCACGTCCTCGTAGAAGATATAAAGCACTTGATGGAGATCTTTGGCTTTCCACCATCCTTGTACATGATCAAACCAGCTTCCTCAGGGCACTGGGGACTGAACACTGTCATATGATGGAGGAGGTGATGTAAGCGCTCACTGTAAGCTCTAACACTGGATATTCTGCAGCAGCTTTGACAGAGGGAGGAGTGGCAGGGGAGCACTGGAGAGGCAAGTACAAGGTGGTGGTGGTGGGAGTGTTGGCTTTAAAGAGACCCTGTCACCTTGCCCAATCAGGGCAAGGTGAGCGGATCTCTTTAAAGTAAACGTGTTAGCTGCCATTGTTTACCTGCTTGTTGAGAAAGCTACTTGCCTGGCTGCTTTGCTGAGCACAGGTAGCTGTACCTTCCAAGTCACCAACCCAGAAAGAAAAAAATGCAGGTCAAGAAAGTCAAAGAGAAGTCAAAAGTCCTTAGCCAGAACACAAAGCATTGCTGCCAGTGGATCAGCTTGACAGCCAGGCACTCAGTATTTCAGAAGGTCAGCAGTGACAGCATCCAAAGTTTACTTTAAGATCAACTCCAACGGAAAATTTTAATGGACCCAGCTAGGTTCTATCACCGGCTGACATCTTAAAGTGGACCTTTCCATTCCCCAAGCTCGTAAATGTAGTTGTTCATAATTCACTCCATTGGGATGTTTCCAACACACCCCTTCTTTCCCCCAAACCCAAAGGAAGACTTTTTCTCAAAAGTCAACAGCCAATCCAGCCTCTTCATCTCTAAACCCCTGCCCCTGGCCGTTGATTACCGCCACAGGAAGGGCAGATACGTGTCTTTGGCATACGGGCCGTGACTAAGTTTATTATTTAGGTTTACGGAATGAACCTTTTCTCATGAAGGGCGAGACAGACTGATCCATGACAAATGACGGCATGGTGCTGTAATTGGCCATGGGATTCTCCTTCATAGCCTGGAAGGTGGTGTGCTGGTAGATCTTCTCCAGGACTTCCTCCGAAAGATCCTTTCCCAGGAACCTCATGACTTTCGAGATCTCGCGCCTCGGATCCTGTCCAGAACGAGGCAATGAATTGTGGTTCAACAAAGAGATGTTCTGTTTTTCATGTGTTAGGCACCTACTCACCTCAATCATGTCCTCATAGAAGGTGTAAAGCACTTGATGCTGATCTTTGGCCTTCCACCATCCTAGGACGTGGTCAAACCAGCTTCCCCACTGCACTATTAGAAAGAATAGATACAAAAATGCATTTAATATTCACATTCAGCATATATCACTATGGGCATGGATGCTGGGAAGTGAGGGATGTGTCCAGAGGGTAGGATATAAGGTTAATGCAAATGTATGTGCTGGGGGTGGAATATAGGAGAAAGGCCAATGTATGTGCTGGGGGCAGGATATAGGAGAAAGGCCAATGTGTGTGCTGGGGGCAGGATGTAGGAGAAGGGCCAATGTGTGTAGTGGGGGTAGGATATAGAGGAAAGGTCAATGTGTGCTTGGCTGGGATATAAGGTTAATGCAAATGTATGTGCTGGGGGCAGGCTATAGGGGAAAAGCCAATGTGTATGCCGAGGGGTGGGTTACAGGGGAAAGGCCAATGTGTGTGTGCTGGGGGTGGAATATAGGTGAAAGGCCAATGTGTGTGCTGGGGGTGGGATATAGGATAAAGGCCAATGTGTGTGTTGGGAATGGGATATAGGGGAAAGGCCAATGTGTGTTGGGAATGGTATATAGGTGAAAAGCCAATGTGTGTGCTGGGGGTGGGATATAGGAGAAAGGCCAATGTGTGTGTTGGGAATGGGATATAGGGGAAAGGCCAATGTGTGTGCTGGGGGTGGGATATAGGAGAAAGGCCAATGCCTGTGTTGGGAATGGGATATAGGGGAAAGGCCAATGTGTGTGCTGGGGGTGGGATATAGGAGAAAGGCCAATGTGTGTGTTGGGGGTGGGGTATAGGAGAAAGGCCAATGTGTGTGTTGGGAATGGGATATAGGGGAAAGGCCAATGTGTGTGCTGGGGGTGGGATATAGGAGAAAGGCCAATGTGTGTGTTGGGAATGGGATATAGGAGAAAGGCCAATGTGTGTGTTGGGGGTGGGGTATAGGGGAAAGGCCAATGTTTGTCCTGGGGGTATATAGGGGAAATGTCATGTTTTTTTCTGTTTCTTAATCTCTGTTGCTTCATTTACTCACCATCTCCTGTCAGGAACTTTGAGAAGTAAGCCTCCCAGTTTCCAGGGTCCGGGAGACCCTTGTTCATCCTCTGGAAGTGAAAGTAAGACACCATGCTATCTTTTGCATTCCTAGCGATGTATATAACCTGTGCAGAAGAAGAAAGTAACACGAAGGATTATTGACCAGATCATTTCTACAAATGCCAGACTTATGTCTTCTAGAGCTTCCTATTCGTGGCTATGTGAAGGCGACAATCCAAATATATTCACAGGAGTAATACACAATCAGGGAAATGTTGGGTTGGAGATGGAGTAGGGAAGATGTGGGACCTGGGTCACATTTGTATTACTCTTAAATGAGTGGATTAAAGGCATTGGAACCCTGAAGTCTCCCTACATATTAATATTAAATTGCTGTTCTCATCCAACAGTATAATGATGGCATGACTATAGGTGACCTGGATATTGGGCTGGCATCTTCTAAATCGAAGGATTTGCATGGTCACCCTGGGTTGTAATGAAGATGAATAGGCCTTCAATTGAAGTATAAGGCCTATATAATATTCAAGTCCCGATATAAGTTAATTCCAAAGACATTTATTTACTGAAGCCAACACGTTTTGTGTGATAATCTCCACCCCATTTATCAGGCTTGAAGATTAAAGAAACAATGTATGCGGACCCATAAATAATTGGGGGTATGGATAGTGGTTGGATTAGCACAGCATTTGTCAGCAGATGATCCAAGCAGCCTCCTTGTTTCCTCAAGACCTGATGAAGGTGGTGATGGGGAGCAAGTAGCTGCCGAAATGCATTGTCTTCTGTGCAAATAAACTTACATCTGGACTTGAATATTGTAGTGTGTTGCTTCAATTCTAGACTATTTATATGTTTATTGTTTTCTGTTTCCCTGGTGGGGAGGCTCTTCTTCCATACTCGTCCTGGTTGTCACCTCTACAGAAGGTGATGGGAAATACAAAATGTTACAGTTGTCACAGAAACAAGGATAGAGGGGAAATCTTCCGATGGGGAAACCTGTTCCGATGACAGATTCTCTCACTTGTGTTTAAAAGAGAGGAAGTGAAGTGAAATCTCCCCAATGGGACACTGAGAGAAAAAGAGGTTCTTCTGAAGCTTCCTCACTCTATCCAAAAATAAACTTATAGATAAACTAAATTGTACACCATTCTCTGGATCAACAGAAAGCAGAACACGAGGGATCATTTTCATTCAGTAAAGCATTTTTCTTCTCTTGGCTTTCCTCACCTTGCAGTCCTGAACCCAGAAGGATGGAGGAAGGAGCTGGACGGGAAGGTGGGTCTTTAATATCCGTGGTGGCTTCATGCTGTCTGCTAACTGCAACCCTTAAACATAAGTAGGTCCAATGAAATAAACTTTCACTGGGTTTCTCTTAGGCCTCGTTGGATTCTTAAAGGAAAACTCACCTGACGGAACAGGTTTTGGGGCTACGGCCTCAATGAAGGGGTGTCTGTCGTAGGTTGGTCCTCGGCGGCACCGCTCTGTATCACCATCCGTATATATCATGTCCACAATCTCCTGCATCCAGGTGATACCTAGAAGGCAATAGCACAAAGATGTTATAACAGACAATAATATTAAAGTGGACCTAGCCTCAGATATATTGTTTTCATGTGATGAGCAAGCTAAGTAATGTGTAAGTGCAACAGGTTGAGCTCTAGCCAAGGAATCCCCCCATCCCCCATTAGCTAATCGCCCAGGTAGGTAAAAAATTAAAATAAAATGGTCCGAATAGTTACCTGAATCTGTGGTCACATGATATGCACAATGGGAGGGCCCTTCTTTAGGTGCTCACTTCAATGTCTTGTGACTTCCAATTTTTTTATTGGGTCCACCTGCAGGGTCCTCATAGGGTCCTGCAGATTACAGCCTTTGGTATGGTGACACCACAACGAGGGGGTGGCAACAAGACCTGTCAGCAGCAGCCACCAAGCTGAAGCATTGAAGCACTAGTCTTCACTCCCAAATGAGGCACCATGGAGGGTCACATCACAGCAGATTTAGGTAAGTTTTTTCTTCAATTGGAATGAGATGGAGGCATAAGCAGGGTTTCAATTTTGGCCAGAGATGGACTTTAAAGATAATTATTACCTCACCGAGATCAGAGTACCCCACTGTGGCAATGCCTTCATCTGCTTTTCTCTCCAGAAGGTCCTCAGGACCTTCTTCCTCCTGCTGGGGATCCCTATAGTGATAATAAAGATCTATATAGAGGAATCAGGACCTCCTTCCTCCTGCTGGGAATCCCTCTGGTGATAATAAAGATCTATATTGGGGAATCAGGACTTCCTTCCTCCTGCTGGAGATTCCTCTTGTGATAATTAAAGATCCCTCTAGTGATAATAAAGGTCTATATAGAGGAATCAGGACCTCCTTCCTCCTGCTGGGGATGCCTCTTGTGATAACTAAAGGTCTATATAAAGGAATCAGGACCTCCTTCCTTCCATTTTTTGGCAGTGCAACACAACACATGTTATTATATTCATCTGAAGGTGCATTGGGATGCCATTCAGAATACATGGCGGGACATTGCACTAGAGAACTTGAAGAGGAACTTTACTCACATATTTAATGTCTTCTAAAACAGTTACTTTCAAGCCAGGCCAACTGTCAAGGTTACCAGTGTGCTTATTTCAGCTCTCAACCCAACTTTCAAGCCCTCTAATGACTGGTGTCATGACTGGTCACATGTGCAGCACCATGGCAAATGCAATCGAACCAGAGGCAAAGATGGCACCTTCCTTGGCTGGATAGTGTGTTTTGGCCTTCAAAACCCAACATTGACAATGGTTGTAGCAGATGTGCAGATCAAGCAACCACATTGATTTACCACTAAAGTCCCCAAGGGACACACAAAACTGTTCAATTTGTTGTCCCCCAGCCTTAAACAGGAACACATTTTAGCCATATGACACTATTAAAAGGCAGAAACCCTTAAATATGGGTTGCAGTTGGAATAAAAGCTAAAGAAAAAAAATGATTTACATATATTCCCCAATAGACAAAAAAGTTTATAAATCCACTTTGTGGGCACCAAATTCCTTCTCAAACCTAGATATGACCTTATAACGAGGCAGTGACATCATCACTGTGCTCAGTGGCGTCACAAGGGGGGTGTGGCCCGTAACCGGGTGACACCATTGGAGGGGAGATACCAAAATAACTGACAGTCATTTTGGTGTCACCCCCTCTAAAAAGTCAGGCATTCGGTCATGGACAGAGAGCCCGACTGTGTCTTGGAGAGAGAGCAGCAGTGACCGGTCTTTATTACAGGAAGCTCCTCACACTGGATTACTGCACAGATCTGGAGGAAATACACAAAACCCACCAAGATTCAAGAAGAATATACAGGACTCTGGTATTGTATTTGATTACAACGGAGTTCAGCCTTAAAAGACTAAATGTTCTCAAGCTGTAATCTGATTAATTTAATAAATAAACAGACACACTTATGTTTATTGTAACTCTTCTATACCTGCTTTTGGGTACGCTGCCACCAGGATGTCCTCGGGGTGCGCCTGGAAGTTCAAAATATCGCCCCATGTGTCGCACGTCCTTTGGTCCAGCGGGACCCCCGAGACGCATCCAAGAAAAGGTCTCTGCATGACGTAACCCACAAAGTGCTCTGCGTTTCGCTCAAAAGCCATGGCGATGGAGTACAAAGAGAAGAGAGAGGGAGCTGGATTGTTTTGCAGAGCTGACAATGAGGAAGGCGGAAGCGGTGAAAACTCCAGAGAGATGACGGATATAAAGAGAAGTAGCACAGAGGTTAAATATGGCACCAGACGGTGCAGTATTCTCCGAGGGCTCTTGACTTGGTTTCTATGGTAAAACTCTGAACCCGAATCAACAGAAACTCCTCCTCAAGTCCTTCTTTCTCTTCTCTGTGCACCACCCCGGACACAAGCTGCAACACATGACGGTCTGTGTGTCTGTCAATCTAACACAGATTTGGGGCGGACTGGTGGTTAATTTTTCTCTACACATTGGGTTTTGTGCTTCGTGTACCAGCTGTTTTCCCCCCCCCCCCACAAAGTAGGGCAAAGAGCAGCAATGACGGAGCAAAGTGCCAAAACCTGTCAATCAGATTTTTATCCTTTGTTGCTGGTTGCTGGTGGAATAAACATGTTTCTGGAACTCTTGGTAACTCTTTGCATGAAAACATTCACAATATACAGCAACAGTATCATTAACGAAACTCAACCTTTTCATTAAAGTGTATGTAAAGTCAACACTTTTTGTTTAGAGTTGTATAGAGTAGCGAAGTGTGAAAACCACCATTGGGTTATTTATTGCCCTCTGTGTTCTGCCTAGGAGATTTCCCTTCACTTTCTGTCTTGGAGATGCAACAGGAAGTGGAAAGAATTCCCATCATCTGGCACCAGGACATTTGTCCCCATTGGAAGTTTTCCTTTCAGCTCTTGCACTCAAGACAACTCTAAAATGTTCCTTTACACACACTTTAAAGAGTCAACCTTTAGACTGAACTCTAGAAGATCTCCAGCAGGAGGAAGGAGGTCCTGATTCCTCTATATAGATCTTTAGTTATCTCTAGAGGGATCCCCAGCAGGAGGAAGGAGGTCCTGATTCCTCTATATAGATCTTTAGTTATCTCTAGAGGGATCTCCAGCAGGAGGAAGGAGGTCCTGATTCCTCTAAATAGATCGTTATTATCACTAGAGGGGTCCCCAGCAGGAGGAAGGAGGTCCTGTTTCCTTTATATAGATCGTTATTATCACTAGAGGGATCCCCAGCAGGAGGAAGGAGGACCTTCTGGGGAGAAAAGCAGATGAAGGCATTGCCACAGTGGAGTACTCTGATCTCGGTGAGGTAATAATTATCTTTAACCACCTCCGGGCCGGCCGTAGTAAAAAATAAAAAGACGATTGCGCCCATTACGCCGCACATGTTACATATCGCCGCGAACGTCGGAGTGAGAGCAATAATTGTAGGGCCATCAATCACTGATAACACTAAACTGATGAGCGGTAAAAGCTTTTAAAGCGTCGCCCATGGCCAATTTTGGGTACGGTAATTTTCTGCGATTTCGCGGGTGCGCGCAATTTTAAAGCTTGACATGTTTGGTGTCTATTTACCCGACGTGACCCGATCTTTTATATTTTACCAAAAAACTGGGTAATAATAAATGTTTCCTAACATAATGTTAAAAAAAACTTTTTTTTCCCCAAATTTTCTGTAATTTTTCCTAATTATAGTAAAAAATAAAAACCCCAGTTGTGATTAAATACCACCGAAATAAAGCTCTATCTGTCCCCAAAAAATGGTATAAAATTCATTTCAGTACAGCGCTGCATGACGGAATAAACGTCAGTCAAAGTACCGCAGCGCTGAATACTGAAAAATGGCCTGGCCAGGAAGGGGGCCTAAACACCTGGTCTTGAAGTGGTTAAAGCCCATCTCTGGCCACAATTGAAACCCTGCTTATGCCTTCATCTCATTCCCATTGAAGAAAAAAACTTACCGGAATCTGCTGTGATGTGACCCTCCATGGTGCCTCATTTGGGAATGAAGACTAGTGCTTCAATGCTGCAGCCTGTCTGCTGCTGACAGGTCTTGTTGCCATCCCCTCGTTGTGGTGTCACCGCATAAAGGCTGTAATCTACAGGACCCGTTGAGGACCCCGCTGGTGGACCCAATAGGAAATGTCCAAGTCACTAGACATGGAAGGTGGCACCTAAAGAAGTACTCTCCCATTTTGCAGTCTGAAATAATAAAGACACAGGACCCGGCACATCATGTGACCACAGATTCAGGTAACTATTCGACCATTTTACTTTTATTCGTTTTGCCTACCTGGGCGATTAGCTTATAGGGAATGGGGGAAATCACTATCCAAAACTAGAAAAAAAATGTTTTGGCTTCAGTTCTACTTCAAGCCCCGCAGGGACCACAAGAGGATGATAGCGGCTGAAATTTAGCTATGTACACTGTTTAATTTTAATGAATATATTTAATAATGTAATAATGATTACAGAGATTAATTGATTTGTGTCTTTTATATCTTCCCGGAGTTCATCTTCAAAGAGACAAAATAGCATGGAATGGTGGACAGGTTCTCCCCCCCCCCCGTTGTCACTTTATAAGCTTTATAAGACAATGTGATATATGATTATCGTCCTTTGAGTTCACAGTTCTGTGCGGAAGTTCAATCCGCTGGACGCCATTCTTTTATTATATTCCTCATCGAACAGGATGTTCTGGGACACCGACAAATTATTCTTCCAGTCGCCGACCTGACCTGTAAGAAGAGCCACAGGGGTTTGTTTAATAGCTATTGTAATGGCGCAAACAGCAAATGTACGCAGTAGGCCAGGACTTTCTTTTCTAAGCTTTTGATAGATTAGGGACAATGAAACATTTCTGTCAAGATTCCTTTTTAGCTACTTGTGTCTCCCTGTGGTAATGATTATAAGGTAGGCCTGTGATGTGAAGGGGGCTTCTGATGTGATGAGCGAGACTCTGATGTGAAAGCTGGGGAGTCTGATGTGAAGGGGGCTCCTGATGTGAAGGGGGGCTCTTGTGTAAGTTGGGGAGTCTGATGTGAAGGGAGCTCCTGATGTGATGAGGGAGACTCTGATGTGAAAGTTGGGGAGTCTGATGTGAAGGGGCCTCCTGATGTGAAGGGGGGGGGGGACTGATGTGAAAGTTGGGGAGTCTGATGTGAAGGAGGCTCCTGATGTGAAGGGAGGGGGGGCTGATGTGAAAGTGTTGGACTCTGATGTAACGGGGTAGTCCACATCATTTTTTTTAGGTGGGTCCCCCCTTGAAATCCATATCTAGGATAAGGGTCTTGTATAGATTTTGTGGGGAACCAAACTTTTTTACATTTACATTTTAAACTGAGGTGCATCAAGATTTTGCATACTTCTAAAGGGTGTCATGACTGAATAAAGGTTAAGAAACACTGCTCTATGCTGACAAGTCTGGTGGTGTCCCCCTTCCCTGGCATGTCTAAAGCAACTGCCTTGCTCCCCTGTATTAATCAAACCCCCAGGGTAGTAGTCCGTTACCTTTCCTCATGAAGGATGTAACGGACTGGTCAAACACTGAAGTTGGGAGAACACTGAAATTCACCATAGGGTTCTTCTTCATCGATTTGAACGAGGTATGTTGCAGGATTTTCTGAAGAACCTCATCAGAAAGATCCTTCTCCAAGAAGGTCATGACCTTGCGGATCTCCCTTTGTGGATCCTGCCCCAAAAATAACGGCATTGGGTGAAAAAGGATCAAAACCAGACTGGACATGGGCACTCCACTCGGACATCTCTCACTCACCTCTATCATGTCTTCATAGAAGACATACAGGATCTGATGTCTGTCTTTGGCTTTCCACCATCCGATGACATGGTCAAACCAGCTTCCCCAGGACACTAAGACCAGAGAAGACTTTTGTTACAACATTATGCAATCCCTGTCCACCAGATTTTGGACCTGTAGGGTCTTCTATGATTATGGAACATAGTTGTGGAAAGCTTAGCAGACCAAAAAATCAGGTTCTGCTTAGGGACTCCAAATCATTTCGAGACCATCCCTGACTTACACCATGTTCTACATGTTCTAGGGATTCTTCAGGGAATGAGACACTTGTTTGAGTCGCTCACCTTTTCCAGAGAGGAATAAATGGAAGAAATTTTCCAGGGGCCCGGGGTCTGGCAATGTTTGGTCCATCTTGTGAAAGTAATAATAGGAGACCAAGCAATCCTTGGGATTCCTGGCCACGTAGACAATCTGATGGAGCAGAACGTATCATCGTTATTCACGCTACATATTGGCAATCTGGACTTTGAATAAGACAATTAATTCTCTTATTTTGTTACATATATATTTGATTTGCGGCTTATATGGCCCCTCTCCTAAGAAGGAGGAAGGCTGTTTTGTATTGCAGTTTCCTGACACTCTCTCACCTTTGTATTCTTCTCCCAAAAAGTTGGCGGCACAAGTTGAACTGGCAAATGTATTTTAAGCAGACGAGGAGATGGCATGGTATTCGCAATCTCTAAAGCTGAGTAGAACATGGAAACACTTTAGCTTTAAATTATCAGTGTTCAGACATGTCAATGGTTATTTATTGAAGTATACCTGTATCATGTCTAATGTTACATTGTATTAAAGTATTAAATACAGATGGGGGCAAACACCCTGCAGAGCCCACTTTAGACACCACACATACCATAGACCCCCGCACAGCCCACCTGACACCCTGCAGAGCCCACTTGAGACCCCGCACATACTATAGACCCTGCACAGCCCACCTGACACCCTGCAGAGCCCTCTTGAGACCCCACACATACAATAGAGCCCGCACAGCCCACCTGACACCTTGCAGAGCCCACCTGAGACCCGACATAGCCCACCTGAGATCCAACACAGCTCACCTGAGAGTAACCCGGCAGAGCCCACCATAGACTCTCTATGGTGGGCTCTCCAGGGTCTCAGATGGGCTGGTCACACCCCTGAACACCTCTCAACTGTCAGCCCCGATCCGTTGTCAGCCTCCTCCACCGCCGGCCATGACCTTCTCCTCCACGGTCGCCGTTGGGCCCAGGGCTTGCCTTCTCTTCCTCTACTGCCGCTGGGCCCGTCCTCCTCTTCCACTGCCAGGCCCTGGCCTCCTCCACCTCAGCTGTCACTGACTCAATAGTGACTGTGAGGAGGAATGCGTCGCTGCACAGATCACTGACAGGTTGTCGGTGATCTGGACAGCGGCGCACTCCTCCTTACAGCCGCCAGTGACAGTCCTGCAGCCCTTCGATGCCTTAGCAACCCAGGTGGCCTGCACAGCCCCCCTGTGCCCCAGGCCTCATAGCGGCTGCCTGGGTTGCTATGGCGATAGTTCCGCCTCTGATTGTATTTCATTCGTATGAAAGTGTATGTAAAGGCAAAACTTTTTTTCTCTTTTGTTCATTGGAGGACACAGATTCTGCTTAATATCATCACATTACTGGGGCAGGGGTTAAATATATCACCCTTCAAGTCAGGCCACCAAGGTCACTGTGGGACCTGGTATTATCGGTGCTGCAAAAAACACCTTCTGAGGGTATTATGGAGATCCTGCTGCTAATGCTTTTTTAGAAAGTGGCCACTACCTCGACACGTAAGGTTTCCCATCCGGCAAAGTTGCCTTGAAAGCCTCCATTATTAGTCCTTCATCAGGACAAGGTCATCTTGTGTCTGAGACTCTCTTTCCTCGCTAAGGTGGTATCAGCTTTCCACTAGAATGAGAACATTGAGATTCCATTTGTTTGTCCCAAGCCAGTCCACTCTAAGGGTTGATAGTTGCCTTCACATTCTTTAGATGTAGTAAGGATGATTAGGGTGTATTTGAGTGCCACGTTTGGGTTTTGTAGGTCTACCTGTTCATGTTTGTAGAGAGCCCACGTAAGGGCCTTGCGGTGTCCATTGCTACCATCTCAGGCAGCATCTGCCAAATGTATGCTATCAAATACCAAGAGCCACTGTTTACAGTTACATCTCACTCTACGAGATCGGCAAGCTGTCACCAGAACAAGAGGCTTCCAACGAGGGCACCTGATTCGATGACAACTCTGTAAGAGGGGAACCTCAATTTCGGGAATTTCCTATCACTGCCTTTTGCATCTTTGGGACGGGAAAAAAATCAAAGCAGATACAAAACAAAACATGACCAACATCATGGTTTTGATTTATATGTGTACTAATGAATTATAATGCGATCTGATTAGTGTAGAATTTTAGTGTAGTGAGAATTTAGTGATTGGGTTGACATTTTGTCACGATCTGAGATCAGGCTCAGAGTCCAGCAGCTGAAACAGCAGGTAATTCTTAGTATAACAGGCCGGGTTTGGTACACAAGCAGAGTGTAGTAGTGGAGGAGCAGGCAGAAGCGTAGTCAGCGAACAAGCCGAGGTCAGGAGCCAAAGGTATCAGGTATGAAGCTGGAGACGGTGAGAGTAGTCGGAAGCAAGATAATGGCAGGAGCACAATAATCTGGCAAACAGGGAGTGCAGAGGCGTGGCTTAAATAGGAAGTTCAAGGGTTTAACTGAGGATTACACAGGAGATCAGGCAAGGATCTTTCCAAGGTTCTAAGGTGGCTCAGCAGGCAGAACAACTGCCAGCTACAGCAGAGGCCCTGGGTTCAGATCCAGTTCCTGACACATATCCTTTAAGTTTAAGAATGTTTCGGTGTTTTTAATGTCACTCACATGTTTTTGCCATCTCCAAAAACGGCACTTTGACAAAACATGGTGCCCGCAGACTCTTCTCCACGTCCCCTTCCTGAAGTATCAAGTCCATGATCTCCTGCATCCAGGTCGTACCTGCCAAGGAGACAACACCAGATCTCCAGAACAACTCAAGGCCATTTTCTCTTTTCTTACTTTTAATGGATACAGCTGGGTTAGGGACTTTCCCCTCTGGAAAATTGTGTCCCTGATTTTGCCCACACTGTCATAAAATTCTTACCTGCAGATATTCTCTATAGGGTTTGTAGTTCTACATGGGCATCTCAGACCATAGCGCTGATGTATGCTTCCTTTGCAGCAACTGTCCTCCTAAATCATTAAAAGCTAGGCTATTCAGGAATAAACGGAATGATTTTGGTGAAATTGCTAACAAATTACCAATTTTGCCTTTGGTAAGAATTTTGGCAAAAAAAGCCTCCAAATTCACCAAATGTTCTACAAACGCAAATTTTCTTAAAAAACAAAATGCCTTCAGGTAAACCTTCCAATACTGTTGAAAAGTATGTGTGTGTTTTCCTTTTTTTCTACATTTTATTGTTTTTTTTCCACAGTATTAAAAGGGAACAAAAAAGTTTAAGTGACAGTACACAAGAATAAGCATTGACTCCTCTCCCGCTTCTCCACGTGGCTTCCTGTATGGTTTTAATGGGAAACAGAGTGCCTGTGAATATGTCTATTCAGAAACCCCATAAGGAAGAGATAAATAAAAAAGAAAACAACAGTTAAAAATATAAAAACTCAAAAATGAAACTTAAACCAATATACTTTTCTTTTAAGTTTTGACGTGTTGCCCCAGGATCCGGTGGCTTGTAGTCATATCCCTGAATTCTTTCATCTGCTGGAAGGCTGAGCCACTTCTCACCTGATTTGGGGTATGAGGCCACCACCACATCACCATCGCGAGCCTGGAAACTGTGTATTGTGTCCCACTCCTTGCAAATGTCCTGTAGCATGGGGACACCTTCGATTTCGCCCATATCAGATGAGAAGGCACCCATCTCCTGGACAATTTTCTCAATTACTTTTGGATCCATCCCCTAGATCAAAAAACAAAACAAATCACTATATTTATAGGAAGTTGAAGAAACATCTATAAAGTAGCCTACATAGGTTCCATAATATAGCCAATTAGGAGATACACTGCCACCTTGCGTCAACTAAGGTTAACTGCAAATGCAGGAGCATGGCACATACATGCGAGGAAAGTGAGAAAAAAAAATCATACTTGCCTTTTTATAAGGTGTCTATGCCTAATTGGAGACATGTGCTCCGTTCATTAGCATGAGAGAAACGAAAGGGGTGTGGAGAATGAGCACCGAGAAGGAAACCATGTCTCCTCGTTCTGAATGGATGTCAGTATTCCTTCCTAGGCAGAGAGAGAGGTAAACCCTGGCAGTCAACTGCTGATACTTTGTATTGCCTTAAGGGATGAGTTACCAAACACCACAGAAAAGAGTGTAACCAAGTGTAAAGCTGGCCACACACGCATCAATGTTTTCATTCGATCGATGAACGATTCGATTGTACAGTTTGCACTCATCGATCGTTTTATAAACCACACTCGATCGATCAATCACACGCGGTAAATGGGTTTTCGAGCGATTTTAGCACGATACGATTGTAAATAATCGATCGTACGGTTACATGTTCATGCGATTTATACTCTCGATCGATCGGAAGTAATAGTTCAGGCGGGAATGAGACCTTCCTGTTCAACGATTCCTGTTTATCTTGCAAAACAACGTGAATACTGTTATGGCACCTAAAAATCTACACATTGTACGCAAAACCTGGGCTCTATATATGCTAGATCAATTATATTTATTTATATATATATATAGGTGGTGGTTACAATATGATTGATTCTTCGATCGGGTTTGGACAGAAAAGGTACTCGATCGAGTATAAACGATCAATAAATTTTCCGCCATGACAGATCGATCGCCGACGTCCAAACGATTAGAAAATCGATCAGCGATCGATCGGACACTACAACGGTACATTCGATTTGAATGCGATTTGATCGTTTTCATCGAATCGTTCATTGATCGAATGAAAAAAATCGATGCGTGTGTGGCCAGCTTTAGGCCTGCTCTTCCATATGGTTGGGATGGGAAGCTCTACTTCAGTGGTCATAAGGTCCTACCTAGTTGTAAATGATTGAAGGCCCACTATTACAAAGCCTGAAAAAAACCCAAATTCGGTCACTAGAAGCGAGCTCCATCCCCCAGGACAGCTCATAGGCTTCCTCTGACTCGCTCTACACACATTTCAGGGGTCCCTCATCTCAATTACCCAGGCATAGCCTATGAGTGTAATCTTCCTCTCCTTTTCTTAGGTAAACTGAATCCCGAAGTGCTGCATGAGCAGAGCCAACACGGATGCTGAACATCTCTCTCTCTTGCTCTTCACCATTCCAGCACATACTAAAGAATGCTCAGTCAGGTTCGGAAAAAGATGGCAGTGAACATTGAAAATGGTGAAAACATTCCTCATCCTCTCCAACTAATTGGTAATATCCATACCAAGTGGTAAGAAAAGAACATCTTATTCTTGTGTTCAATCAATTCCAATAATTTGGGTATTTGGTTTTTCTATCTTCTTTCCCACTCTTCCATGATCAAGAAGAATAATTTCAAAGAGGTCCTCACAGTTCATGACACAACATAATTTAATGGTTCATTAGGATAGGGGGTACCCAGCTGCATACTCCATGGGAAACAATTCCTCCATTCACATTCACCCACTGCTGGACCTACACTATTTGTCACCTGAGGCCAGGGGTGGGGGGGGCCTGCTGGGTGAATGGTCGTTCAGGAGGGGGGTGCTATCAATGAATGGTTGTCCTAGGTGCTGTCAGTGAATGGTCATTACCTCTGGGTCCGGCGGCTCTGTCCGGTGTCCTGCCCAGCTCACTGACGTCACTGGTTGCCAGGGGCTGGGTGGGAAGCCGGACAGAATGTCACAGGTAGCTAAGAGCTTTTAGTAACCTGGGACGCTGTGGCCATCCTCCTGCCACCACCCCTACACCTGCCACCCTCCAATGAGATGCTGCCTGAGGCAACCTCATTATAGTGAAAGCCCTGCATCCAGCCAGCCTATGTACCCCTTATCAAGAACAATAATTGACAAGAATCTGCAACAAGAGCTTGAGGGACATTAACGTAAAGCGGAACATTGGAGTTGGCAGGAACAACGATGGAGATAAGAGACGAAGACCAGATACAACTTTTATTCTGAGAAGAAGGTGTTGCAACCTTGGTCAAATTTTATTACTGTCATGTTCTCATTTCTCCTGTGTAACAAGACAGGAAGTGAGGGGAAATCTCTCCATTGGGTCGCAGATGGAAATGCAGAAGGTCTACACTCTGTCCAACACAAAAACGTTTGGCCAGAGATTAACTTTAACTGAGCTGATCATCTGATATTTCAGGATTAGGGACAGACCCTAAACAAAATGAGTCCTGCATAGAAAACGTGGGGTTGTGGGACCAGTAGACCTAAAACTGATATTTTAGTTGGTGGTAGATGTTGGAGAGTTAAACCACGTAATGCATTCTTTTGTTGTGGTAGTGAGATCTCTGTGCTCAAGTTGCCAAGTATGGAGAATGCAGCATGAGGAGATAGAACACCCCAAGGAGGGAGAGAGCACACATCTCCAATTTTGGTAGTAGATGATTCAGGGACAATGGTGGGTTGATTATCAAGTAACCAGGACGTATCGGAATCCCTCATGTAATTCAGCCCTCCAGACTCTACCTACGACTGCAATGTCAACTTTTAGTGGCACGATTTCATTTTCAACACACAGAAGGAAGACCCAAGTTTAACCTCTAAGATAACTTAACATCTCATAGTCATGCTCTACTTCACTGCAAACCTCAACTTTCCTGTGAATATCTTCTCATACTCTTCTTTAGAGCTTCCTTCTTTTTTTTCTGCATCCCTGATTTGCAAACTCTTCAGAATTTTCTAGTGACATCTACTCCCAGGAGCACTAACTGCACTCATATATATATATATATACATATATATA